TGAGGGAGGGTGTAAGGATGTCAATCCCGTGATTCATGTAATCAGGAATAACTCTGCATTTCCTTATGTAGCTAATAGAGATCTCTGTATATTAGGCAAGTAGGTCAATTACTTCTGCATATATAAGCTTGTACAACCACAATGATGAACATACATAAAATTCTTCCATTTTATTATTGTGCCTCTTTGATCGTGACACGAATCATCATGACCTCAAGCAATTGGGGTTCCAAAATAGTTGCACAACTCCTCCTAGTAATTACTGATTCGCAGCCAGAGCGAGGACATTTTACTGGATTCCTCAAATGCAGTGCCCATTTGACGGCACCATTCACGCATGACACGCAAAAGCGGTGGAAACAAGATGGTACCTCGAACTGCTCATCAGATGGAACATCATCACAACACAATGTACAAGTTTCCTTGAAGATGTCGCCTTCACGCCATTTGATTTGGGAAGCAATACCAGCTCTCCCAAGCTGGACGACAAAGGAGATGTCCATGTGTACAGGAAGTGCTTCGAAAGAGGAGAACCTGCTCTTAAGAAGAGCCACTTCCTTGACGAGCGATGCGACAGTGGAATGGTTTGATTCTTCAAACTTACCCTTCACCTATCACATAGAGAAAACAAATAATCGGCAAGTTAAGTCATATACAGTAAGCGAAAGACCAACTATGAATAAATCAGAAGAATACATTGAAACCAGAAAAGAGCACTTACGTAGCCAAGGACCTCGTCGTTATCACAATAGAATGTGATATTTCGCAAACCAAAATCAAGCGCCGATTTCAAACCTTCGATCAAAGCTATCAACTCAGCAACTTCCCGAGTTGTAAAATCTTCTTCAACTCTCAGGACTTTCTTCACCTCCCACAGTAGAGTATCCTCGGAGCTGTATCTGTCTCCTTAACCGACTCTATACTCACCAATCCCTTAGCGAATAATCGAAACTTCTCACTTGCGGTTGAGGATTCTGCTACCACCCTCCTTTTGTAATAACGACAAAGTTTTCATCTCTTCATCGAGATCCTTGAGGAGGATATCTGTGCAGTAGTAGTCGTCGACAGAGTCAACTCCAAGACCAAATACAACTTCCAAATCTTCTCGAGTAAATTCGGGAGGAGAGGATGTGTGTGCTTGTCGAGAAGCTTTGATCACGTCCTCAGCTTGTAGTTTTAGAGCCAAATCGTGGTCACAAGCTAGAGATTTAGCCAACTCTAGCTCTTCACGTACGTTGCATCTCCAACGCTGAAATCAAGTTGGTATCCATGGGAGCACGACCAGAACAAAGGTAACACGGAGAATATTCTAATCGACCGAAGAGGAGACGAAGGTTGTCAAAATAATATATAAGCGTATACGAGCGTGGTTGGGTTTTGGCAGTGCCTTATATTGGGATTTCTCTTTTTTTCTTTCCTTCAAAAATAAAGGAAAAACCATGTTTTACCTTTATGTTGAAAAATATTAGATTTGACTTGCTATATTGGTCAGAATTGGAGTGTATACTTAAACCATATAATTGGGGAGTTTTCAATCCATCCATTTAGAGTGTACACTTAAACAAAAGTTTTTATTTTATAATAAATTTTATTTAAATGTCAATTAATTCATGTTTACATATATTTATTATTACTTAAAAATTTGAATTTAATAAAAAACGTAAAATAAGTAAATAAATGATAAAATTAGTTCATACCAAGATATTTGAATATTTTATTGTTGTAAATACAAAATTACAACAGTAAGTATAGTTCATGTATATTTTAGTTGATTTAAGAGTAATAAAAACATTAGGAATTTATGATAAAGATAAATATTTAAATATCTTAATTTCAAAAAATTGAAAATATGTAAACTATATAAATATAACGGCAAATGAATAGAAAATTAGAAATGCAGATAAACAACATGAGAGAAGCAAAGAACAAAAAATGTTATTACTTGTTAAACATCGTAATTGAATATCAAATAATTGTTAGGATGGAAAAAATTTAAAGAGAAAAATAATATTTTATTTATTAAACAATTTCACTAAAGATGAGAAACTACGGTGAAATTTTACAACATATACAAACACAACTTTAACATGTTCATCAAAACGCAAGGGATCGGATCTTCTAGAATGTAAATTTCCAACATTTGAATTCTTAGGTTTATGAAGATCTTTCCCTCGACTGTGCCCTTGAACTTTCTCAAAATGCTTGGAATCTTTTCTTCGGCAGAACTATCTCTATCAAATATCATCCTCTATATTAAACGAGTTCATTTAGCTAGAAAACTGTTTATTAGTAGTAAATTAATTGGTTGTCAAAATATTTTGTTCATAATGATTTCAAATTGAAGGGACGACATATTGTTTGGCTTCTGAATGAAAATCATCTTTTGAAATCCATATTTTGTTATTGCGTTGCTGCATATAACTCAATACTTTTAAGGGTCAATTTGGTTAATAACAAATAAAAAATTATAACAGAAAGTCTAATGAATTGGTT